TTTATGAATTGTGGGGGCGGAAATGGCCATGATAGGAGAGGGTCTCATAGAAGAAAGTTCCTGTCCTTGAACTGCTGCTGTCCTGGTCTCTTTCTGACCATGATCTAGTGCGTCTTAAAATGATGTGAACTGACAACTGCTTATGAGACAAGGATGTGGAACAAGTACAGATCATGTAGATGGGAGGATCATGGGTTTGTTCCCAAGAAAGATAGTAAAATTGTTCAAATAGGTGTCAGAGCTGCCATATTTTAAGGGCTGACCCCTAGAAAGTGAATGATACTGTCTTTGTCATATCCTTGTTATTAGGAAAATCATTTTGGAACTCATATTGGCAATAGAATTTCTGATACTTGACTCGATATAATGGATATTTGTTATTTAAAAAGACAGTAGTTAATATCATAGTATTTCATCATGTGAATCCTGAGGTTGCTTACTTACAATTCAATGGACTTACAATAAAAATGCATACACTGTATGTTTTCTAAAGAGAAGTACTTACTCTATATCACTTGATGCAAATATATCATCACCACATATTAAAGATATATTATCATATCTAAAATAAAATCATTGTATCATAATTATTCAGTTTCATAAAAAATATTCAATTACATAAATTTATTCAATTTCATAAAAATTCACGAGTATTATTCAGTTAATAAAAATGTCAGATGATGCAGAAGTTCATCTTTCAATAGCATTTAATGAATGTATGCTGAGCATCAAAAGTGTCCCAGACACTAGAGAGAGAAATCAGTTGATTAAATATGGACAGCAAGGAGATTTCTGTCTTATTGGTAGAGAAATGAAATCGATAACAATGTAATGTAAGTGTTGCGAAAGAAGATTCTACCAAAGATGTTAGAGAGGAATCCAACTTAGACCAAGAGTCAATGAAAACTTTCCAACTACTGAGTTTGTACCAAGCCAATTGTCTCATTCAAGCTAAAGGAACAATAGGTATGCAAGGATGTGTGGCTTGATAAGAAAATGGTTTTTAGTGTATAAACAGAGACAGGTAGCTGTGTAGAAGAAGAACAGAAAATAGAGAAATGTTTGAGCAGGAGGATGAAAGTAGACAAGTATTGATGGGTTTCCTATGCCTTGCTGAAAGGAAGTACCTCTTCATGAAGCTAGTGGTGACAAGCTTGTAAGCCAGAGTCACCTTGGGAGGATTATAGTAGCATTCTTTTAATGATTGACTTGAAGGGAAAGAATCCCAAGACAAGATTGATTAGGAGGCTGCAGCAGTTGATTAAGGAAAGATATGAGTCCAAACCTAGGCACAATGATGAGGCCAAAGGCAAGGGGACCCACTTGAGAGGAGTAGACCCTTCAGTTGTAAAGTACAGTGTGCTGTTCAGAGAGAGGGAACAAGTCCTCTTTTGGAATGACCCTCAGCCCTCTGGTCTCAGGAATTCATTGGACAACAAAAGAAGTAAAAGATGATAAATTTGGGTAGAAAAACACTGGTTCATTGCTGGACATTTTTCATTAAATATATGGACAGATGGGTATAAGACTCTGGAAATCCAGGGAGCTTCCAATCAATGTGGATACCATTTTTAATAGGCATTTTTCTGTTTTCTCCACAAGATGGCTTTTCCATATCTACCAAGACATTATAAGCCATTTCCCTTTCATAAAGCATTAGGTGATTATGACTTCAAGGGCCACTAAATAGAGCAGAAATTGTAAGAGACCATATTGGAAAATGGAACAAACCTGTGCTTTTTCTTAAAAAAAAAAAAAGAGGGGACATAGTGAGTCCCATGCCTCTGACAATGGCATCTCATACTCCTGTGTACTTCTATATAGTGGGATGGCTCTCCTTCAGTTCTTCCTGCTGTTCTGAATTCTGATTCTGAATTCCTTGTTTTCATTTTTTCTATTGCAGTCTTCTGATGCAACAGTAGTCAGGAGCCCACACATCAAAGCTGCTTTTCTCCTAAAATAATGAATGATACGTTGTTGAATCTAATATCTTCTTTCTTGTACCTTCTGTATTTAAGTAGACTAGCCTACAAGAAAGAAGGTGAAAATATGGCAGTGACAGCCTATCACAACTTAATACTAGGGATAAATTCTCCATCCCAGTTATCAAATAAAGCAACTCCCATAGCAACTCCCAAGACTAACTGCTGATATAGCACTATGCAGGCAAATGCATGTATAATGTAGCACATGTGTGGAAACTAAAATTGCAGCTTAATTAATTTACATCCTAATAAAATGCTTTGCTTCTAGGAACTGGTTTCCTCTCACTGCTTAAGTATCTTTCTAGGAGCCTTGAGTCAAGGAGATTTTGTCTTGATCTCTGAATGATATTTCCTCCCAGCTTTTGAAAACACTTCTATTCACTCCATAGATATGTCATCAGTCTGCAATGTGTGAAAGTGCACCATTTTTCCTGCGCTTGACCAAATGTTTCATTTCCTGAAAATTAAGTTACTGAAGCCCAACAAACAGATGGTCAGAGTCCTGCAGAATCTTGCTCTGCTGTGAAATATATGATCTGAATTCCTGCCGCAAGCTTCAGAAGTTAGCAGGGATTCTCCTTGTGAGCTACTGGACTGTAGTTGGGGTTGCAATTTTCAGTTAGTTTCCAGAGTCAATTACCTGGGACATCAGGAAGGAGATGTTGCAGATCTAGTCATGTTGTATATTTAAAAAGTGACACTGGACAAGTCACATGGACCTGGTTGAAATGAATCTAGGTATTAGTTGTCATGTGCTACATGATTAAAAGTTACATGTTTGCCATTGATTACACAGGGAAATAGAAAAAAAAAGACTGATTTTCACTATTTATAGTTTTTAAATAACATACTTTCCAGGCTAAAGAAATATTTCAAAGAGTATAATGTAGGGGTTTAGGTAAATAAGATAGTCCTGCTCCTTTATATACAATTTTTTTTTCTTGTCGGGTATAAAAGGTTTGATCACTTGGCTCAGGGTGATAAGAATAAAACCAATCCATGAGGAAGTATGACTTTGTCTGAATAATACATTATTACCTGACTTTTGAAAAATAACTGGACATGGCAGCTCACACCTATAATCCTAGCACTCTGAGAGTTGAGGCAGGAGGATTGTCCTGAATACAAAGCCAGCCAGAGCTACATAGTCAGTTCTAACTAGGCTAGGACATAGCATAAGACCCTGTCCTTAAACAAAATTGTTATCAATTGTTCAGAAAGAAGTCTTTACTTTTGGGAAGATTTTTCAGCTGTCAGTCAATGTATTCTTTAGGAAACTTATGAAGTAGTAGGCTGTTATAAAACGAAAGCCAAGGGCAGTAAAAACATAAGTTTACATTTCTAAAATGTTTTTTCCAGTTGGGTGTGTATGGCCTTTACTTGCATACTGTTTGAATATGCTGCTTCTTTTTAAATTTGTATGTTTAACTATACAAAATATCCTGTATGGAGAAATAGCAAAAATCCCACTTAGTCCTTTTGTAAAGATGCTTAACATTCAACATTTGTAGAGTTCTGAGTTTGCAATGAACATGCCACAAAATCGATGACAGGGAAACACTCACACACACACACACACACACACACACACACACACACACACACACACACACACACCACGTACTCTGTTCCATACTTTTGGCCTAAGATATTTAGTGAATGTTTCCAGTTTATGTAGCATATACTAAGCCCTGCTCTGTGTATAATAAAGCCATGATTTGGAGTAGGAAAAAAGAGAAAAAGAATCTATTAATGGATGGTCTCACAGACTTGAAGCATAGGTGGAGACACTTGAGGATTGAGACATATTGAGACATATATTCAGATCATTAGGTAGCACAGTGTGTTTCTGTTGGTCTTCCCTTTCTTATACACTGTACCTGTTCTTCACCAGGACAGAAGGCTTTGATATTTAGGGAACCCAGAACATTCCCCAGAACACTGCCAATGTGCACAGTTAGATGAAATAGAGGAAAAGAACTAGTTAATCATATGCTCAAATCCAATGTTGCACTTAGGAGCTTTCCTCATGGAACTGGCCCAGGAGAATCAGAAATTCAGCAGAACCATCCTGAGATCCTTGCTTCTGCTATGACTACTTTTTTGTTGTTGCTGTTGTTTTCTAGGAGGTTTGAGTTATTAATTTTTGTTCATGATGTTTTATGTTGATGTTATTACTGTTTCTCACTGAAATACAGGTAAAATATGTCATCATTTTGTGCTGTTAGAATTTTGTTGCTCTGTACAAAAAAATAAATAAATAAAGGTCAAATGACTAAAGGGTTTTGTTGACCCCAAACAACACTGAAGTGTAAATATCAAAGTAGGGAATAACCAAAGTAGGAATTTATGCTCAGAGAAATTATATGTGGTAGAAAACATATCCAGCACAATGTAGCTTTCCATGGCTAGCCATTATTCTATTGTGTAAATATTTATGGAATGCTTAAGCACCATGGAGGACTGCTGCACAGTATAGCATCCTGAGCAACCAGGGACTCGGTGACAGTTCACCTTTGGGTAGCAGCTTCTGCCTCCTACACCAGCCTGCGAAGCAGAGCCGCTCTGTCAGATCCTGGCTGCCATGCTCCTTCCGTCAGTCATGTGTACTCCGTGTATGAATTTCATCTCTTCTGCATTAAATATAAATTGTGTAGAGATGCCCAAGTACGCTTTTTAAAGACAATATGCTTAATATTGGAGATGATCCTAAGAAATTATACATATCTCAATATGGTATTCTAATTAAAACCTAATTAGCAATTCACTGTGCTAGAACTTAGTTTTTTTTCAATATAGAAATAACTTCACTATGCATAGAAAATAAAGATATAGTTTTTGGAAACATTAGAATTTCAAAAATATAAGGCAGCACATGTGGAATCTGGAGGTGTTAAGAATCTTAAGTGTGGGTTTCTCCAAGCTTTAAGCTTCAACAGTTTCATGTAATCAGCGAGCTTGCCAAACAGTATCAAAAAACTCATTTTCTTCAAGTGCTTTATTTATCTTTAATAGAACCTTCATCACCCTGGTGTTGTAAATTTGGAGTGTATGTTTGAGACGCCTGAAAGAGTGTTTGTTGTTATGGAAAAACTCCATGGAGACATGCTGGAGATGATCTTGTCAAGTGAAAAGGGCAGGTTGCCAGAACACATAACGAAGTTTTTAATTACTCAGGTAAGAAATCAATTAGAGGCAGAAAAAAATAGTATTCAATATCAGATGTTATCACTGTTTAACTACAGCTCTCTAGCCTTGTTATGTGGTCTCTGCTTCCAATCTAAACTACCACTAGAAAAGATTGCAAGGGCAGAATGAATTTTCTTACTTATATTCATGTCATTCAGAGTCCAGTGTACAAAATTAGTAGCATATAAGCTGACCCACACATTAAAGCTGTTCTTGAAATTTTAATAATACACTGGCTTAATCCTGGATCAATGTAGATATTTAAGACAGTGTTTCTGTGCCTTGTGGTGAGTTCCTTTGTCTACACCTGTGTTTGTTGCTATATTGAGGAATGTGCCACTTATTCCATTAAATTTTCTTTAACAACCTACTATGTTAACTATAGAGTCTTTGAGTGTCTTGAACATAAAGAACCTTGACTGTCATTCTGGGGTTTCTCTTGGCCTTTCAAATGCATATGGCAGTTCGTTTCAGTAGTATCTTGAAATTAGTTATATATCTTGAAATGAATTAGTAATATCTTTAAATGAAGTTATTTTGATGATTTTCTTCTTTGTAGATACTAGTGGCTTTGCGGCATCTTCATTTTAAAAATATTGTTCACTGTGACCTCAAGCCAGAAAATGTGTTGCTGGCGTCGGCCGATCCATTCCCTCAGGCAAGTACAAAAGCCACTCTCAGCAGAAAGCTTGACAGTCTTGCTGGCTCCAGGCAGCCTCCTCCCACCTCCTTTTCATTTTATCTATCTATCTATCTATCTATTACTTATTTATTTATTTTTTGCCCCCTCAACCCTGACTTGGTTTGAAGTCTTCCCTGAGCATTTTCATTCGCCTCGTTGCCTCCTGTTTCTGGATCGCTTACTCTGTGTCGCTCACTTCTCACAGAGCTTCTCTGATGATACTCACCTGTGCTTTCTCAGGCTGTTGCTGGGCTTCTCTAGAGCAGGTGGTCCCAGCCCTGTGTGGAAAGCATGACCTTGACACTGAGAATACCTTAGGATCCCAGGGATGCTTTCTGCTCTCTGAGGCTGGGGACAAGGGCACGCTTCCCTTCCCTACACACAGGGGTAGAGAAAAAAAACAACAACTGGACCTCTTTCTAGGGACCCTAAGTCTACAGTACTTGGCCAGAGTGGGTGTCTGGCCTTGCCATGCTAACACCTCCGGGTCCCACCTGCTGGCCCATACCATGCTAATGTTGATAGTTATTGTGGATCCTGTGAGTCGAGACGTCTTCCTACTTACCCCTTATTCTTCACTTAAATATGCCCCTCAGAGAAGGTCATCGTTATCAATTTGCATGTTCTCCTACCTAATACCAATACTCCAAACTGATCATACTTATTTTCATTTTTTTTTTTAATTTTGGGATAGGAAAGAAAAGGTTTACAAGATATTTTCACTAATGAGAAACCAGTTTTTGTCTTGTGACAAACTATTGTCTTTAAAAAAAAGAAAGAAAGGCCGGGCGGTGGTGGCGCACGCCTTTAATCCCAGCACTCGGGAGGCAGAGGCAGGCGGATCTCTGTGAGTTCGAGGCCAGCCTGGGCTACCAAGTGA